TTTACTTGTTTGTGTTTCTTTTTATCTCGTATCAAGTGCAATGTATCCAGGGGGTCCTCAAGAAATATTAAAAGATGGTAAGTAGTAGTGGTAACTCTGCCTCTTACCTGTTCACTGCAGAATGTGCTGTGTGATTGAATAAACAAAAAAGCTTTGACATTATGGTTGGGCTCTTTTTTCTCCCCTAACGGTATTCATCTCATTATCGTCTGTTTAATTGATTGGGGATGAAGGAATATATGAGATGTTGGAGGAAATCTTGGATTTACGCTCGACAGTGGCCATCTATATCTTTCCCTGATGTACTTTCTATTAAAGGCAGTTCTTCATTCATTTCTGCTGTTTTCTACATTCTTCTGGTTTTATGGAGAATAGCAAATACAAAGTTAAATGTGTTGTAACTCTTCCTGTGCTGTAAGGTTATTCTAGAGTTATCTTTTTCTAATAATTTTTAAAAAACTTATATAATTCTTACTTCATTTTTCTACAGATATACTTGTGATGCTGAACAGCTTGCGCATGTATTTGTGCTCTCTCTCTCTCTCTCTCTCTCTCTCTCTCTTTCTGTATCTCTCTCCCTATCATCTATTTTAGATTGCTCTTATGGCACATAAAATTAGTTTAAATTGTCTGTAAGTTTATGCATATTTTCAAAACAAGAACTTAGTTCTTACTTGATGAATATGATTGACTTCAGAAGTAAAATCATTTCAAAGATAAAGTTGTAAGTAATCCTTGAGTTTAGCAATGTTTTAATATAAATTGTTGGCTTTAAATTTTGAAAAGATTTGAATCTTTCTGAAATTAGCCATTTATAGAACTTTTTAAAAATAGCTGTTATGTTTCTTTTATGTGAAGCAGTTCTTTGTCTCACTTGGCACTCATGTTATTTGAGATAATGGGTCTCATCTTTTAAATTTATCTCAATTCTTATATTTTAATCATAATATACTATTTTCATAACTTTAAGGAAGAGAAAATTTTAATAAAATATAGTAGTTTGATATTTATTGAAGTATGTATTTCTAATATTGTTTCTTAATACCTAAGAAAAAGAATTGCTATCATCCTATGTCTCTGCCTTTTACCTTTTGTTTGTGTTTAATTATGCTAATTTTTTACTTTGGCATATAATGTTTTTGAATTTTAAGATGTTTTGATATTTCTTTATTGACTGCTAATACTTGTAAGTAGAAACAGCACGTTACAAGAATATTTAGCAGATAGTGATAAGACCTGAACGTGTTCCTGAAAAATCAATAGTTGGAACTCAAAAAAAGTTTGCTTCTGTATTAACAGATATTTTTTCCCATTTCTACTATACCTGAGAGAAGACTTCATTTTATATGCATAAAACAAAATTGGTTATATGCATTAAATCAACTTTATGGCAACAGGGGATCTTCTTAGACCTGAAAAATTAATAAAATATTTATAAGAAAAAATAGCTACTGAGCACATACAGTCCCTGGTTATCATCCCGTGTTACAGGTGATGGCTTCAGCGGTCTTCAAGTTGCAAAATACAATTTATTACTATAAAATCTTCCTTATCACAAAGCTGAGCTCTTTCTAAATGGACACATGTTATTATCCTGCAAAGAGGTAATGCCCATCTCCACTCAGAGCTTAAACAGTTAATATTCAGCACTTGGGACTAACTTGGCTGACTCATGAAAGAGCCCCTAGAGCAGTAATGGCTCTTTTTCTGATGTTCTGTATACCGCTGCACTTAAGTTCTGGAATATCAGGAGTGCTTCCGAAGTAAATTTATTTTGTTACTGGGCTTAATGCACCCACTTGAATATTTAGATGAATCACTTTCTTGTCAAGCAAATTTGTCTTTTGATTGTCAAGCACTTAAAAATAATGCTGATAACCAATGGATAACATTGTGTTCTGCTTGATCAAAGTTTTTATTTTTTTCCATTTATTCTGGAATCACTAATATTTAAATGATTCTTCAAATCCACTTTGGCCTGGAACAGATATAGATAAATATAAAATAGGTAGACAAGACAGATACGTTGATTTTGCTTTTCCATGACACTGTATCCATGGCTGTCATGTATGGTCATGCCACTTGGGTACTGCATTATTTTAAGGTACACTGATCACTTCTAGTCTTTGAAAGGATGTTCTACCTAATATGCAACTGGAACAATAGTACATGAAGGCTCTGGCACAGCGATATAACGTGAGTTAGAAGTTAGATTAAGCCATTATTTTAAAGTTGCATACAATTTCATAGTTGGTTAAATGAGCAAATCATTTTTTTCCTTTTTCCTGTTTTCTTGATGTACCTTTGGTCTATATTATATAAATGTCAGGAGTACAGATTCATACCCTAATAAATTGTATATGCCACACTTCACCCACTGCCAATAGTACCTTTCACCACTAGCAAATTGGTCCCCTCTAGCTGCTCCTCCCATCCTTATCTAAGTGGCAACTCAGAATACAACAATCAGAACTTACCTAAGAGTTCCTGTAGTTCAGATTTCTCACATTATAGGAGTAAATTAAAGTTCCTTCTCATCAAGGGGCAAACTAAGTCTCTTTTTAGTGGTTGTTACACTAGATCTAAAAATCCAAGTCTATAAATTTATTTTCCAGTAATCTTTTTTTTTTCAAACTTCTGTGCTAACTCCCTTTAGATTTTAATGTGTTAACAGCCACCTCTCACCTGAAGATTATAAGAGACATCACAGGGAAGTGACCTAACAATAATAGAGTCATGGTTTCAGTCTCTCTTCAAGTCCATTCTGCTATAGGGAGTCCACAGTTTTGATCTTGGCTTGTTAACCTCATTAGCAGTGATTCTCAACACCTGTGCCAGTGGTTCATCGGGGACCTAGGGTGGATGACTTCTTTGTACCAGAACCCACCACCCAATAGTCATTTCTCTCATGACCTATTGGAATACGAAGAGCCAAACACAGTGAATCTAGAATCAGGTACAGATGATGAGCAGATTACTATGAAGATCATGTGCCTGTATATATTTTCTATATTTCATGCAACAGAGGTTTCGGACAATAGGTGAAGAGACAGCATATGAAGTTAAATTTCCATTTTTGTTTTCTTTTTTTTTTTTTTCTTATGAGGTTGAGGGGGGTTTCTTTACTTTCCTAATGAGATGAAGATTTACATGTTTTGGAGAATCACTTTCTGTGTGTCCTCTGTGCATTACTTCAACCTTGCAAATCTGAATGGGAGTCATGCATGAACCCAGGACAGATGTGTGCAGCTGAGCAAACCTTTTTGCCATTGCGCTTCCTTGGAATGATAATCCTCATACCAGGATTTCAAATGAGTTTAATACACATTTTCTTGATTAATGGAAAATGGCAGAGTGTAGGAGACTGAAACAGTTCGTGCTTTGCTTGATTAATTAATAAGGGACTCTCTTTTCCCAGCTTCGACTCATTATGCTAATGAAGTGTCATCAATTAAGGCTTTCCCTTGATTATTGAATCTGTCAGGTAGTGCTCAGTGAAAATGCTGCATTCCTTTGCTGTCAGGGTGGAATTGCCATTACCGCTTTTCATGAACTGCTTCTCTCCATTAGCTGCTGCTTGTTTTATTTTCTCATTATTTTGTCTTTTTCCTGACCTTAAGAGGGGTGAATTTGGAAAGCTTGGAATGAATTGGAAAATGTTATCCCTGGGAATATGTGTCAAGAAAATGTGTTAACAGAAAGATGTATACCATTCTTCATTCCGAACCCATTTTTAATTATTTATGACCTAGTCCAAATTGAAATAAAGGAATATGCTGAACTTTCTAAATTAAGTCTTTGGCATTGCCATTAGATAATATAAACAGTCCAGAAATGAACAAATTATCATTAACCATTCTTTACCCTATTTTTCCAATTACATTTTAAGAGGAAGGGGTAAGGGAAATATCCTGAGAACAAGTACTGAAATGCTGTGCTCTTTTCATTTTCAGTTCTCATTCTTTCACAAATATGACATAGATTTGGATTTACTTAGTGGTTTCAAAAATATATAATGAATAGAATATACCCAAGTTCAGCCTCTGTGTTAGGTGTAGGGAAACAAATAATCATGCCAAAGCTCCTTAATACTAAATGTGAGTTTTTGGGTTTAGATGAATTTTAATCCACTCATGTTGCCTGTCTACACATTATCAAACACTATTCTAAGAATAAGTAGTGCCCATTAGTTAAAGGCGGTTAAGCTATTTTTAGAATTACAAATAGTAGAAAACCTGGGTAAAGTTCTAGCAACCATCCCACCCACAACCCCCATTTTGGTAACTGGTCAGGTGGGGAAAAATAATAATAAATTCATTTAATTTTCTGCTTTTTCTTCACCTAAAGGAATCAAATAGCTTTAAAATTTTTCAGTACATCTATAGACTTAGAAAAAAAAAATATACTAGTGGTAGCATCTGTTTAATTGAACCATCAACATTTTACTCAGTTTCCCTACTGTAGAATAAGGAAATGATATTCATTCATGGCTACCTTCTTGGAGATTTTTAAAATATAAATAAGTAGGGGCCTCCCTGATGGCACAAGGGGTTAAGCACCACACTGTGAAGCAAGCCACAGCCTCTGCAGCACGAGTTCAATCCCCGGCCGGCCAGGGAGCAACCCACATGGTGCAGCAGACCTCTCCTGTCTCGCCCGTTGTTCCCTGCAGCAGTGTATTTGAGTTAGTCTGCCTGTTCTGCTCCCCACTCTGTCTCTGGTGAATCCTCTCAGCCCCCACATCTCTGGCCTGTACCCCAGCTGTTGTATGCATAAATAAATAAATCTTTATAAAAATATAAATAAATAGAAAAGGAAATGGAATATTCTATTACTTGATTTTAGGGATCATCATTTATATTCTAGTGCTTTGATTTAAAAATTAAAGGAAGGCATTTGATAGAACCAATTGCTGAGTGGATTAATGCTTAGTTATCTCTATCAGTTATACTCAAGGGTGTTTTCATTTTCCGGAGAACCGTCTTTTTCTCTGCTTTCAGGAATAACATGTCCAGTTCAGTGGAATTCTTGATATGCTGTGTCTTTGAGGTATGTCTTTGTTTTCATCTCTGTGTCCCAAACCTGTAAGAGGAGTGAAGAAAGATTGATCCATAAAGAGGACTAAATATGCTGCTGAACAGAGGCAGTACCAACCGCCTCAACATGGACAACCCGTATTATCTTCTCAGAAAGATCTTGGTGAGAAATAAATCTAAATCTAAGAATGGGTGTGTTGGGGTGGTTATTGATAGAATGCAGACTGGACACAGTGGCAATTCTCCTTCTTTAGAGCACTAGCCTCAAATAGCAGATTCTCTGCATGTGGTCCTATACAAAGGTGACCCACTCTGCCCCCTTAGTCAGGATTCTCTTTGATAGTCATTCTTGCACTTGCACGATATGGTGTGGAAAATGGTAAAATAAACTTCTAAATCAAAACCTGGTGGAAGATCAAATTGTTCAGGAAAGGAAAAGTTAGTTTGAGTCCTTCATCATGATTATGTCTTCATTATCATCATTGTAATTGTCCATTGTTTTGTTTTGATATCAACATCATGATGACTTTGGGATAAGGCAGGGTAAGATAGACTGAAATATTTCATTTAGAATCAAATTACTCCCCACAGGTTTCTTCTTTTTAACAATAAAATATTTCCTTTCATTGTAGAAAACAACTATTCAATTTTTCAGCAAAGTCTGCATGCCCATGCTATCATAATGTGGTTAATTATAATACTGAAATGCTGGTTGTGTAATAGAAACAGAAAAATGTCATAGGTTTGAGAATATGAGATATGATTTCTTCATTTTTTTCATTCATAACTAAGTCATGCTGAGGGTCTTGCCTGGCTCAAAACACAACATAAGATGTAGGGGGAGAGGAAAGATGTATTTATACAATTGATTAATTTTGGCAAAATGGACTTTAGGACCTGAATATTTAGGAAGTTTGGGGATCAACAGATAAATAAAAAGTATTTTTCACTTAGACAATGCTACCTGTTTACTCAGTAATCAATAGTTAAGCAAAATGAAGTAGGATATAATCAGTTTAACAAACATGTATTATAAGCCAAATCTTGCACTCTCAGGTTAATGCCAAAGGGTCACTCAGTCCTCAAAAATAAAAAGCTCATTGGGTAGGAATAGAACATTTTTTGAGGTACAGTATGGAGAAGTAGTTAAATACATAGTTCCTGGAGCCAAACCGCAGGGGTGTGTGTCCTAGCCCCACCCCTTATAGAGTGTAAGCATGAGCCATCTATTAAAACTTTCCATGCTTTATTTTTCTCTTCCATAATAAAAGTGGTACCTTCTCCAGTAAATTGTTGTCAGGATTCAGGCAATAGAGGTAAAGATCCTAGAGATATATTAACGTTGTTTAAATGTAATAAAATCATTTGCTATTATTAAAATGGTAAAATATAGTGTTAATTTTTACTGAATTTTAGGATCAGGTAGGTGGTTGTTCATGTAAAATCTTTGTGGATATCTTTATTAATTCATTTTTTTAGATCTTGGTTAAATAATAAGACTATTGTGCCTCCCTGGTGGTGCCAGGGGTTAAAGACAACACTATCAAGCTCTCATTATCCACTGCAGCACAAGTTTGATCCCCTGCTGGCTAGGGAACAACCCACATGGCACAGCAGACCTCTCCTGCCTCACCTACTCCTCCCTCAACAGTGTATTTCAGTCAATCTGCCTGTTCTGTTCCCCACTCTCTTTGGTGAATCCTCTCACCCCCCCATACTTCTGGTTTACACCCCAGTTCTTAGATGCATAAATAATAAAATAAATCTTCAAAACTAAATAAATAAGACTATTAAACCTCAATTTTCTTATCTTAAAACATTCATAATTTAAGACAATCAATGCTTAATAAATATAATCATTACTTTTAATGGAATACCATTGCCCCACTAGCAGAGTTTTATTTTCCTTTTCCAAATTCAGGATATATTAAAATCCCTTTGTTATAGATGTATAAGCTTGAAGGAGGCAATGTAATATAATTCAAATTCAGTATTAAAAATGAATTATTGAGCATCTATTTTGCAGTCTGGTGTTCCTCTGCCTTTCCATGACAAAATCCTGAATTATACGAGAAAAACAAACATGGAAACCTTAATTAAATGAATTATGTAGACATAGAAAATCCTTCCTACTGTTAAAAGATATTGCTTTTCTTAAAAAGGAAAGTGATATTTGCCTTTTGACTGACATAATTATATCTAAGTGACAGAGCGATAAGAAATTAGAGCTTTATTGAAACTTGAAAGTTTACTCTATTTCCTGCTCTCTTGACCAAATGCACATTACTCTGTGAAACAAATGTAAAACCTCACAGCCTAATTTTAAATTCATCTTTACCAACATCAAAACATGTATAGGCAAATGAATAGTGACTACCTACCTAGAGTGAATACATATATTCATCCAAGGAATTGAAGGAGGAAGTATTTCCTTTCAATTTATAAAATGCAAATTATGAGATGATTATAAACCCAGTGGTTACTGTTGCTCTATTCTCTGAACATTTCACTGTTACTTTCCCTTACTTACTTTATATATTCATTTTCATGTCCCCTGAGTTATACAATTTCCTTTCTTGAAATACAGATGCATGTGCCCTTTTCCCGCGGATACACAAACTAAACTATATACTCAACTATGACTATTATGACCACTTGACCAGATATTTTCTGGTGAAATGTGGGAGAAAGTAATGTGCATATTTCCATGTCTATCATATAAAAATAACTTATGAGTACTCCTTTGTTTTTTTGCCCCTTCCTTTTTCCTAAATACAAACTCACTGAGTACCTGTACTAGCCCCGTACTTGGTCATTGACTTGAAAAGTCTCTTGATAGTTACATGAGAAAGATAGTATCTTGAATCATTTATTTACATTCATTGTTTATACTTCAATTTTACCCTAGTAGAAAAATGATAACATCAAAATGGAGTACTGCTATAAAAATTAAAATGCATTATAATATAAATATTTAATCTAACAACAACAAAAACAAATAGAGGTCATGTAGTAGATAGTTAGAAAAATAAATACAAGAGGTGGCAAAGTAGAGATTTGGACTATGCAGTGGGAAAATATTTTGGAAAGTCTCTTTTGAAGGTAGACCAAGTGCCTACTCAAACTGTAGCTCCAATGGAAGAAAATATGAAACAGTGATAAATGTGTGACTGTTATTTGCTGATGTGTTCATATTTTATGAGCATGAAGTCAACTCAGGCAGGAATTGGTTAGCTCTAAACAAAGATTGAATGGGAATCAAAGATTAAAAATGGATCTGTCATACAACCACTGATTTCACCCCAGGCAGCTACCTGAAGACTACAAAAAATTAATCGGAAGGGGATCATGCACTTCCATGTTCATTGCAGCACTATTTACAATAGCCAAGCTACAGAAACAACATAAAAGCCCAAATACTGATGAGTGGATTAGGAAGATGTGGTATACATACATGATAGAATACTACTGCTAGTTATCAAAAAAGATAAGCTCTTGTTACCATTTACAGCAACATGGATGGGGCTGGAGGGGATTGTGCTATGTGAAATAACTCAGAAGGAGAAAGACAAATACCAAATGGTGTCATATTTGGAATATAGAGATGAACAAAAGGTCATATAAAGGGTCAAACAATGGGTCTTATAATGCTAAGAACTAAATCTAGAAATCTGAGTGTAGAACTGAGGCTACCATAGGGAAGGGGAAATGAAGGGCCAGAGAAAGATGGGGATGAGACACAAGGGACTGTGTTGGTGGACTGTGGGTGTTTGGGTGGTGGGTGTGGTATGGTAACAACACCTGGGGTGGGGGATCCTATACTTCTGTTATACAAAGAATAATGTAGACCAAATTAACTGCAATAATAAACAAAATAAGTAATAATAATAATTAAAGAAACCAGATTAAAATTAACATAGAGTTAGAAAACACAACTGTTCTGAAATAATTAATAAGAGCAGTTAAGACTGAAAAAGACCATGAGGACTAAAGGCATATTAATGCCATCAAAAAGCTTTAATTTGTGGAAAAAATCATCTTGAGAGGGGTTGTCTTCTCAGTCACTCCATTTTTCAGAGGGCCTGACAAGGCTATCAATAAGAAGGCGGATGAGGGGGAGCAATCAAGAGAGGAGCAGGGTTATGAGAAGCATGTGTGGAGGAAGAAGAGTGGAAATAAAGCCAACTTAATAGTTCACTTCAAAACTATGGCTTGCAAAAAACTTTGGCAGCATTTACTAGAACACGGAGCTTATCAGAAGAATATACATTTTTAATGGAATTATATTGCCTCAGAACCCACAAGGACATAAAATTATTAACAATCAGGAATTTCAGTGATTCAGACAAAGGAAATGTAGCATTATTCTTGCAGCTTTTCTGTAACTCTGATATTGTATTAAAATTAAATGTTAGAAAGGTCTTTTCACCACTGTTGATGGGAGTGCCTGGGAGCGCTTATGGCAGCAGCAGGATGGAGAGACAGAGACAGAGAGGGGTGGTGGAGAGAACCAATAAATGCCAGGAATATCAGAAACAGAGAAATGTCTTTCCAAACTGTAATATTTTCAGATAGGCATCTCCACCCCATCCACCTCAGATGCAGCCATTTAAAACCATGAAAAAAGAAGGGACTTTTCAGTCCTTTCAGATACAGGAAGGGCCTCAAGATACATGAAGACAGGACTATCTCCTCAGAGAACAAGCTCTGGATGTGATCAAAAACAAGCTCCAGGTCCCTGGGAAGGGACCTTTCACAATGCCTGACTTGCAGGATTTTACCCTGTCATAAACTCGGGACTGTGATATGTTTCTCATTTTTCCTTTTCCTAAATAGAAGTTTTCATACAGCCATCCTGCCCTTGCCTTTATGTTGAGTGTGGGAGAGTATCTATAATTTCTCTTTCATGCATAGGTCATTAGCAAATTCAGACCTAAGGAACTTTGAGTAGACTTCTACATCTACAGGGTATTACATTGTTTCATTTGGGAAGGAGTAAGTATGCTATGGGAAATTCTATACATGGGTGGAGGGGTTAACTTGTGTGGGGGCTGTCATATAGAAAACATATTTTCTGGTCTACATTTTATAGTTTCTCTTTCAGGTAGATATGTGCATGTGACTACGTCCTCATCTATGAAATGTGAGCTTCCATCCCTTCCATGCCCCCATTTTCTCACTTGACTCCTTTATGCTCATTGCCCATTTTGATTGACTGAAAATACTATTCCCCAAGACAAGCTTAGAAACTGCATACTGAAGTTAAAGTCACCCACAGTTTGGATTCTCAAATGATTTGGGGGAAGAAACACTCCCCATACTCTGTAAACATGAAAATTCCATGATCTACAGGAGCAAGAAATGTCTTCTATTTGTATTGATCGCTTTCCTTTTTTGTGTCCAGTTAAAACACGTCCTGAGTTTTTCTTTGTGTTAATTTTAAAAAAGAAAAGAAAAACTGAAAGTGTATACAAATTAATTTGTGACTGTATCAAGAATGGCCCAAAACACTGTTACAGCTTGCCACTGTGCTCTTGGATTCTAGGAAACTGTAGTGTTGGAAGGAAGTCTATTATGTCATTTGGAAACAAAATAATTTTCACTGTTGAATCTTCAGGTTACTTTATATCCCTGGAAACAGAATTTTGTTACTATGATTAGAGATGTATACTAGCAACTTTTTTTTTGCAAAGCAAACACAGTGTAACAGATATGACCACTTATATTTGTTCCAGCTAGAAAAACTTTTCCCTTATAAATCCTTCTATAGAAAATCAATAAATGGAAAGAAGGTGAGTGCACCCGAAAAGCAGATATTATTCTAAAATAAAAATAAAATATTTAAAATTAATAGTTTTTTGTTAGTGAAATACCCTATTAAAACTTCAATTTCTGATATGTGAAAGTTGTCCCTATTTTCATGGAAACTCTGTTTACATTTCTCATTGTATTTTTAGGTGATCTAAATTGGAGTCTCAGGTGCCAGGTTTCTTTTCTTTAAACTCATTTTATTTTTCTTGATACAGCCAGGAAATTGAAAAGTAAAATAGGAAACATAATGTTCTGATAAAAAACAACAGGGCTTCTTGTGCTGAGGTAAGTGCAAACAGTAATTCTGCATTGCAGTTATTATTGCAGAATCAATAAGTATAGAACTAGAAAATAAATGTATCTTGCTGGAGGTTTAATCAACCAGCAATCTCCAGTAGTGCCCTTCTGTGAAGATAATGTCATGTTTATGAAGAATTTATTAACTTACATTTTATTTTTGAATCAGTACATGTAACACAATGTCATTATTTAATAGTTTACTCTGCTAATTTCAATGTAGATCATACTCTAAAAATAATTCCAGGAATAAGAGGACAAAATACAGAAGAGGCCCGATTATCCCAATTTATTAACTTTTAGCATTAAAGCTGTTAACTTTTTTTAACAATGAAAATGTGACAAAATATTTACTATAATACATATACTAGAGGTTTTACCTGTTCTATTTTAAAAAGATTATAAAACTAATATATATTAGTCCTAAGAGGGTTAAAAGAGAACAATAAAATTTACTCATAATTCTGCCAAGAAATAATCACCTTTTGGTGACTCCTTCCTGTCTGTCATCTAAGTCATCCATCCATCCATCCATCCACCCATCCATCCATCCATCCATCCATCCATCCATACATACATCCATCCTCTATATCATGTATCCTTTCAGAATTTCTAGCCTTGTGTTAATTTACATGTGTTATGAGTTTCTTAGTTTTTCTTTATTTATATCAAATTGGATGTGATTCAACTTTCTCCTTTATGCTCTTCATATAAATTGTGAGCATTTAATGATACCATTAAATAATCTTAGAAACTAGAATTTTAGATAGCATTATGAAAGTCATTGTATAGATTTATTATATATTCACTTTTTACCTTAGTCTCACATTTACTATTTCTGATTTTGTCTCTTACTAGTATCTCTTCTATGAATTTATATCTTTCCCTGATTATATGGCTAAGCTTTTACTATTTTATTAGTGTAGATTCTTAGTGATGAAATTCGCTGGTCAAAAATGAACAGCATCTTTTAATGACTCTTATTATTAATTACTGAAATGACTTGATACTAGAGATACTAATTAATTTCCAACCTTCAGTGCCTAATAGCATACTTAATATATCCTAACCAACATTATTATTTAATTATTAAAATATTTGATAATTGATCAGTTAAACTGTCAGTTCTATTTAAATGCATTTCAACTCAGAGATTATATTCAATATATTCATATGTTTATCTGTCATTTGTATTTCTTCTTTGAAATTTACATTTTTTTCATTAAAGATATAAACTGGAACTATGTCTCTAAATAAAAGTCATACCGGATGAGTTTTCCCCTTTCTTTTTGAATTTAATGAAACTTCCCTAATGGTTTAGCTTAAAGCATGGTAGTTGACTAAATACATGGGATTTTTAAACATAGACTTTAAGTTAAAAGCAAAGAGAAAATGTACTTACTTTACCTGTTTTTCTTTTAGCTATTTTGCTCTGCTATTTCACTGTTTCATTTGTTTCAAAGGAAAGTGTTTCAAAGAATAATTTAGAGAGAAATTGAAATTGTCTTTTTCTATAATGTATAACTCTATGTAACAAAGAACCATCAGGAATATCTTTCCTCACTAAAAAATATGTCTTTGGTTTAATATAACAAAAATTATCTAAGTTAGACCTCCATAAACTAGGGTGTGGAATTAATTACCTACAGGAAAGACAACATTTAACATTTCGTTGCCAATTTTAAAGGTCTGGATATGCAAATTGATTTTGTAAATTTTAAAGAGGGTAATTCTTAATCTTCCCAAAATAAACTATTTTAAGAACTTTAGAAATACAATTTACACACAAATGTAATATGTGCTAAGTTCAGCTTTTTCTTATCTGTTTAATAAGCAGGTCTGACAAAAGAGGCATACTCAGCAACTCTGTTAGCTGCTAGTTTGGTGTATGTTATTGATTTTATTTCTAAATCAATTGTACTTAAAATAAAACAACAAACATGATGGAACATATCCAAGTAAGTATTATCTTCTTCAATATTGTAACTCCTAAAGTTTCTGTGCTGACTCTAAGAATACTATCACTGTTTAAAATATTTTAAAATCACTTCCTTTGGAAATATCTCTACTTGTTCTAAAATATACTCTTTTGAATAGCTACTTAATCAGGTTCATAGTGCCAACTTTCATGAAACAGAAAGGCTTTTAGTTACAACTAAAATGCAAGCCAAATATATATAACCACAATATCAATTTATTGGAGGGGATCCACATTACAATAGTATAAGTATACAATCAAATAAATGGCAAAAGGGAGAGGTAAGGGACCTCTTGGTAAAGTTTGGGAGATTGGCAATACAGTTTGGGTGGGTCCTTTCCCAAAGAGTTCCTGGCATCTGCCCACCTGTAAGTAAGGGGGTGCCAGTTCTCAGAGGAAGAATCCCCTGCACTAATTGCAAAACCTTGGAGAAGGCTTTAGTACTATCAATATGGAGTCCATCAATATCAAATTACCTTATATTTTGTGCCTATATTTAGACAACTTTTCAGAGGCATATTATCAGAACACCTGATAATTTTGATTTAGGCAGGCCTCTCATTGCACAGCCAAGTTTTTATCTAGCATTGTTTTTCTCATGTTCATTTATTAATTGTCTTCATAAACAGTAGATTGCTTTTTAAGTGATAATTTAAGTATTTTTAGCTCAGTTACCATCTTTAGGTCAGTCATGGTCATTACAATATTAACATACATGACATCTATACTAGTTACTATTAATTATTTGATTTTGCAAATATCAAGACTTTTTGGAGTCAGGTAGTTGCATTGGGATATATAGTTGTTCAAAGACTGTTTCACAAAAGGTTTCACACAAGCAGGTTACTTTCTGATGAAGAATACTGCCAATGGGCTTTCATATACATTTCATTAATCTGCATCAAATACAATCTTTCAGATTCCTCAAAATTTTAAATACAATCTTAATTGATTATTTGGTAGTTTTTCATTTTTTATTTTTGGTGTGGTATAATTAACAAGAATTGTGTGTACTTAAGTGTACAATTTGATGATTTGACATGTGTACATATTGTGAATGATCACCAGAGCCAAGTTAGTTAATATATCCATTCACCTCACATAGTTAACCTTATCTTTTTGTTTTTATGGTGAGAACACTTAAGATTATGTCTTTTAGCCAATTCCAAGAACACAGTATAATATTGTTAACTATAGTCTTCATTCTCTGCATTCAATGGCCAGAACTCATTCGACTTGCTAACTGAAATTTTGCATCTTTTAAACAAAATATCCCCATTCCCTGCCTCTGGCAATCACAGTTTTATCTTTGCTTCTATTAATTTGCTTAATTTAAATTCAATATATCATGTGGAATCATGTAGTGTTATATTTTTCTTTCTGTATGTGGCTTATTTCCTCTAACATAATAATATTCAGGTTCATCCATGCTGTCACAGTGGCATAATTTCTTCACTTTTAAAATTGAATAATTTTCCATTGGATGTGTATTTTTTATGTTTTCTTTATCCATTTGTATTTTGATTGTGAATGATGCTACAAAGAATATAAGACTATAGATTGGTTTTTGAAATCCTGATTTCAAGTTTCGTGAATATATACCCAGAAATGGAATTGTAACTTCGTCACTCTATTTTTCATTTTTTGATGAAACTTCATATTGTTTATTATAGTCTTTACCACTTTACATTCCCACCAACAATGTACAATTTCTCTGCATCTTACACTAACAGTTGTTACCTTATGTTTTCATTAATAATCACCTATAAATATGCAAGGTGATACCTCATTACAGTTTTGATTTGCGTTTCCAGTGTGTCTTCATCCTGAGAGATTTGCTCTGTGTTTAAAACATATATAATCTCAACCTTAGAAGAAACTTTGTTCTTATTGAAATAAATTTCAATTCCATATATTTATATTCTGCCCTTTCTACCTAACCTGAACAGAGTTTAAAAAGTGAAGTCAATTAAGATGTGACTATTTTCTAGTGGATGTGAAAGTATTTGGTTATAATCAACTAAGGAGTTGTCTTTATATAATTTAGTGACTTTGGCAACAACATTGAAAATATAGTAATTTTAAAAATGATGAAATTAATTACCACTAATTATCAATTACCTGCACAGACAGATAAGTAGAACTAAAGATTTGAAAAATGGCCTTAGGAAGATGCAGAGTAGAAATTTTTGGTAATTTATTGGTCTCTTATGGCTTTGGAATAGCCTTAGAGAATGATCACCCATCATGATAATAAAGTCAAGATATTATAACAGGGAAAATCACATCTTTAGAATGATGTACTGGTATTTTTCTTACCCTGAATCTCGTAAAAGGGTTGGTACTAATATATGTGTAAAATAGTAAGTGGAATCCTAAAGGCCCACTGATAGTCTTGATAATATTATAGTAGTGGAGTCTTTAATGAGAGAAGTAAGTTATCTCACAAAGTTATCTCACTTAAGCAACCGTTAAAATACTGTTTTCAAAGACATGGTCCTAGTTTTTCCACATTGTTTCATTTTCCAGCTTTTTATGGATGATTTTATCCTTGATTATGAATACTATCTGTACTTAAGTATTACTGACCTTAAAGTTTATCATCAAAGGAACAGAGTTAAACATTCTTGTTGATTCCAGACTTCTGAATCAATTTTTTTTTTTTTTTACTGGATATCTTCACAAAAATGTTCCACGAGCACCTTCATAACAGTCTGTCGAGAACTCAGTATCTTTTTTTCTTTACAAAATGTTTATTTCCATTGTCTCTGACTCAGTCTATTATTATTGATTATACAAAATTTCTTACTGGGATTATTGTATTGTCTCTTAGCTAGTTGGCCTGTTTCCTGTTCTTTTATCAATTTAATATCTATATTCAGTTATGTTTCTGACGCACAAATAAAATAGAGCCATTTCTGTACTTTAATTGCTTAAGTGATCCTTTAGTTCAATATGACAAATTAGAAAAAACATGACATATTATAGAGGACTATCTCAATCTGTGAGGCTCTCTGCACTCCCATTTCATCAAAAACAGTTGTTCTACTCTAGACTTGCTAGTTTTCTCATACCACTTTGCTTTTACATGTGCCTTTTTCCATGCCTGAAGAGTTCTCCAACACTTCTCTGACAAGGAATGCAGTATATTTTCTTGAAGTTTCAATCAAAACTCATCAGAAGTTATCTCTGATTCCCTAAGGCAAAATTATTCTCCCCTCCCAGACACGAACTGAATCTGGTGGTATTAATTGCATAAAAACAACTATTACAACTGCTACCTTATATTTTGATATTTCAATTATATCTATTTAAGCTTTTTGGGGGTGAAAGATCATATTTTGTTCTTATATTTTCATCATGAAGCATAATGCTTAGCCTATGGCAGAATCTAGTGCAATGATATCCATTTTTTTTTTGAAGGCTATGGCGGAAATAGATATATTCACATTAGTGTTGAGCTTGATTCACCCATCACAGATTCAGTTTGAGAAATTGCCCATTTATCTGCTTTGCATGTTGATCAATAGCATAATATTTTTTTGAAAGAAAGGCTATTAAAATTTGAATATAATTTTAAAAGCACAGATTTGCAGTACTGATTTTTCTATAAAGCTTTTCTAGCATGTTTTTGCTATAAAAATCTTCTCTAGCATGTTACAATTATCTGTCTTTGGGCAAGTTCGTGAATATTGAAAGCTTTAAATAAGACTCATTACATATATAGCAGAATAGTGAAAGGAAAAATGATTAAGGTCCTATTTTTGTCATAAAATAAGGTACATATTTTGTATAGCTTATTCATTCTTTTATTAAATGATTTTTTAAAAAGAACCAATTTTACAAGTTGGGTGAATAAATTTAAACATAACAGGTCTTCATTTATAGGCATTAGTAGTAACAGTGTAGGGTTTCTCAGAGTTTTCTTGAAAATTATTTTTGGTGTGGCCTAAGAAAAGAAATTCTCTCTTCGAACATTTGGGTAAGCAAAGTTGAACACATACATTTACTACAGAGTGTTTAAGTGTCATTTTAAATATGCTAATATGCAATTTTATGAATCTCTAATGCAGTCCTTGCATAAACTATTTTCCCAAATATTCCACATTAGAACTTTTCTCACTTATTTTTCATGGAACTTTTTTTTTTTAACTCCTCACAGAACACAATTTTTCTGTAAGATTGAGTTTGCCAACAGGCATATGAAAAAATGTTCAACATCACTTGTCATCAGGGAAATGCAAATCAAAACTACCATGAGATACCATCTTACACCAGTGAGAATGGCACATATTAAAAAAACTAGCAACAACAAATGTTGGCGAGGATGTGGAGAAAAAGGAACTCTTCTGCACTGTTGGTGGGAGTGCAAACTGGTCGAACCACTATGGAGAGCTGTGTGGAGATTTCTGGACCTACTAAAGATAGAGCTTCCATATGATCCAGCAATTCCACTCCTAGGTATTTACCCAAAGGACACAGAAACATCAATTCCAAAGAACACCTGCACCCCTATGTTTACAGCAGCACTGTTTACAATAGCTAAGCTTTGGAAACAACCCAAATGCCCAAAAATAGATGACTGGATCAAGAAGATGTGGTACATATATACCATGGAATATTACTCAGCATTCAAAAAAGATAAACACATGCAATTTGCAGCAACATGGATGGCGCTGGAAGGGATCATGCTCAGCGAAATAAGCCAAAAAGAAAAAGAAAAATACCGGATGGTCTCACTCATAGCAGGAATCTAGAAAACTTAAATAAGGGACCAGGAAAATGAATAACTATAAGAAAGTGAAAATCAGAATCAACAAAAAACTATGAAACAGAGACACTTTTGAGGGGATGAGGGCGGGAGGGGAGGGATTGGGATCAGAAAGGGGGGGTTGCAACTGTATGAGGAATATAAAAATAAAATTTATTATTAAAAAAAAAGAATTTGGAAAAAAAAAAAAAGATTGAGTTTGCAGTCATGCTTAACCCCAGAATCTCTCTTTTAGTGAGATATGAAAGGTAATTTCCCTTTAAACAGCATAGAAACAGTAGAGTTTAGGTAATATTCCTCATCATTTTACTATTCTCTTTAGAACATATGTGCAGTAGGAGTACTTCCTGTGATAATGGAAATGGTTTATAAATTGTGCTGTCCAATGATACAGTCACAAACATACATCTGCCAAAGAGTTGAAATGTGTATATTGCAATTAAAGAATTGAATTTTTATTTTACTCATTTTTAATCAATTTAAATTTAGAAAACCATATATGACTGATGATTTTTCTTGGACATCTCAGTTCTGAGCAATTATTCTGTTATGGACAATTTCCACAGGTTACCTGTCATTAAATGGTATGGATTAATTTTCCTCACTTTAATCTGAATGCTTAATCATGCCCCAGTTTTTCTTAGTAACTTTTTATAGTCTTACCATTCATCAATTTGATGAAAATCATTTTGAATACAGCTTAATTTCCTGCCACTGCTACTTCTTGGAACAAATAGTTCTTTAAGTTTATGAACCACTATGAAAAGGGCTTCGTGATCTTTATTCTAAGAGAGCTATGCCCAGTTTCTGCACTTTACCTCTTAGATATTACATTCAAAGCTAGGCAAATAAATGCATTTGTGATTTATTATATGCATGTCCTCCTATATTTTGATACTATGTCTTATATACATTGACATTTTTAATTAAGAATTTATCATTATATAAATGGATTATATGATTGTACATGATGTTCTAGAAGAATATTTCTTTTATATTGATTCAAGACAATGTATTTTGGTTCCCACTATTACTGAATGTTTAAAAATGTGTTAAATATTTTCATTGTGCCACTTTTATGATTTGGTAAATCTGTGAGAACTCAAATAATTATGTGACTTTCTGTATAATCTCTTAATGGTAAGGTCATGTTCTGTCTCAATTAAGGACTTAGCTATCTTTAAGGATATCTGTATAGTTCTCACAACTTGCAGCAAAGTTTATACCTGCATTACACAGTCACTGGATACTTGCCTCCAAGAACATACTGTAACCTTGGGCAGAGTTGCAAGGTTTCACTAAGATCAATTTCTGAAAAGTGTCTTGGCTGAGGAATTTTAGTTAGAAACAGCAGTTAGGGGAATAATTGTCAGTCTTCAAAAGGATACCTGAGAGACATATCACAGCATCTACAACAGGTATATGGGAAGACTAATGGAAATAGGCAAACATTAGGCAAAAATAAAAGTTGTGGGTTTTGCCTCTTTTCTAATTCATATCAGGGGATAGCCACCCCAGAGAAAATGCTCAAATATCAGATGGACAGAATAGCTTCTCAGATGGACAAAAAGTAGTCTGTTTCTTTCGCCACTACAATGTTTGTACAATGACCCCATGAATAGAGTGACAAGGGTCGCAGGCATACAGACTAACATATATCCAATAGTTAGATCCCTTCTTACTAGACACTGTCTTTTTTTTTTTTAAAGGGTTGTTCACTTTTATTTATTTTTTTATAATAAATTTTATTTTTATATTCCCCCATACAACTGCACATGCCCCATTCTGACCCCAATCCCTCCCCTCCTGGCCCCCACCCCCCAAAAAGTGTCTCTGGTTCATAGTTTTTTAGGTATGGACCCTGGTGAATATTCCATTTGCCATCACATAAGGAAAAAAAAAATCCTCTCTTTAATATTGTACATGTTTAGGGATGACCAGCTTTCTACTTAGTGGCAAATTAATTACATGATACTCTTTGTACCCTGGAGAGGTTGTGGTTCACACTTAATGGATTACACACCAACTCTAAAATGGGTTATTTTCACAGTCCATAAAACTGCTGCCAGCACCACCATCTGAGGACTAGAGGAATGCCAGATATGCTGACCTGGGATTCCTATATAATATTGCCTCAAATTAAAGGACTATTTTACCACAAAGAACATGAAATAGTGGGTGCATGGCCATGATATGAATGGGGTCTGCTCCATAAAGAATCATCCAGAAGCATCCCTAATAGAATAATTTAATAGCCTATTACATTTTCAACAAATGTGCCAACTTGAAGACAACATCTGTTGGAACACTATATTCCAGAATGTGATATAGTCATTGAATAAATGGCAAATACATAGTGCTCTTCTCCAATTCCTACAATCAAGAAGGTATTAATTAAAACACACAAAAATTAAAAAAAATGAATCTATGAATCACAGAATGAAGGCAGATTTAGCTCTTCTCACCATCACTTCCAATAACCTACCATGTGATGTATGTTTCCTCCCTTATAACTCAAAGTTTTGATTGATTGGAGATCCTGAATACAACACTTTGACAAGGTTATATATACATTTTTTTATACTGGTTAACCAGGAATCAAAGGAAGGAAGTTATATGCTAAAAGAGATAGGTAACCCTTTTGTTTATCTTGAGGAACTAAAGTTTTGTTTCAAGATTGAAGCATTTGGAAATATGTCTGGAACTCAGAGGATTCACAAGTATATATTTTGTTTCTGTTCATTTATTAATAATGGTGGGCAATCTCATGTATCACAGGATGACAAGAGAGTTGGTACACACCTTGGAATGAAGGTATGAGCCTCTCTACCAGAAAATGCAGGCCATCTAAAATCTAGGCCAAGAATAGGGAAAATAAAAATTATGTAAGAAAATTGTTCTTTCTCTCCCAGGGCTTTTCTGATGGCATGGATATTCAAATATTTATATGTACATAATTTTGAAAAAGTAAAGGGTTCCAGGAGAAACCCTTAAAGAGATGATAGACAGTGGATAAATGATTCTTACAACTGCTCTTCAGGTAGGTAATTTTAGAGGTAAATTATGTGTATGTTTTTTAGAAAGAGACTTTGGTACAAATGTTGTGTGAGATGATTCACATCTGTGTCATTAAGCTTGATTACAACCCCCATTCTTGCCACCATGAACTTGAGTCTATTAAGCAAAAAGCAAAGTACCTGGAAAAGAGATAGTCTGTATTGTATGGATTGAATTTTCTCTCCATGTTACAACACCCTTTGGTGAATAGACACACAGGAAACAAATTCCCCTGTGTGCCATCTTGAGCGGTATACCGACATGCCCCTACCCGAGGCTTTCTGGTCTCATGATCGCTAAGCAGATTCTCTACATTTTTCTCTCTAAACCTAAGAAAATGTTTAATTACATAAATCAGCATGTTTATACTTTATTTTTATAATAAAAGTAGACAATCAGAAATATCACTTCATATTTTGTCAACTTGCAGGGTCCCTCTTCAGACTACTGTTTCTTCCTGGCCTTATGAAAGGTGTTTGGTTGCAGCATATCACATGCACTCATCTGTAAATCAGGTCTGATGTTTTTTCATCCTATGGACTTGTCAGAAGGAACTCTTCCAGAAGCCATCAGTGTAAGATGAAGGTAAGGTAGTAATACAGTAAAGTATGAGTCACATGAAACTTTTTATTTCTTCTGGACCTACCCAAGTCTAACTTGACCGTGTTTCATAACAATGGATTGCTTCTATACAATCCAATTTTAAGTCCTAGTAGAACAGAAAGCTAGTGGTTTCATGATGGATAGCTAATTTCTCTTTTTTTCCCAAGATTTATTTATTTATGCATACAAGAACTGGGATACAGGCCAGATGTATGGGGGGTGAGAGGGTTCACCAGAGACAGAGCAGGGAACAGAACGGGCAGATTGACCGAAGTACGCTGCTGAGGGGAATCGTGGGCGAGTCAGGAGAGGTCTGCTGTGCCAAGTGGCTGCTGTGCCACTGGCCAGCTGGCTGGCCGGGGATTTAACTAGTGGTGCAGAGGCTGCAGATAACTTCACAGGCAGGCTGCCTCTTAAACCCTTGTGCCACCAGGGAGCCCCATAATTTCACAAAAAAAAAATGAAAAAAAAAGAATTTTACAATAAAATGATGATATACTGCAGGGGAGGAGACGGGGGAGGGATCTGAGGGAGGCAGGGAGGAGCACAGGGGACTGAGGTGATGGTGCATGGGTGCATTGGTGAAGGAAACTCTATGGGGACTACACCTGAGGGGGTGGGGGAAGCAAATACTGTTTAAAAATTAACAATGATGCTAAAAATTAAAATAAATAAATAAATAAATAAATAAATAAATGAGAAAAAAAAGAAAATGATGGCATTTCTATATGTAAATACTCAAGCAGAACTTCCCTGGGAGATACAACAAAGTGAAGACAGTCTTCTGTGTCTGCTGCCAATCTAAAGTAATATTGGCATATCATCTTTGTGACTCAGAAAGTATAAGTGAAACTCTTGATACATTCAGAACAAAATATTATATAATTTAGTTTGATATATTTTTAAAAGATTTATTTACGCATATAAGAACTGGGGTACAGGCCAGATGTGTGGGAGGGAGAGAGGATTCACCATTGACATAGTGGGGAATAGAGCAGGCAGACTGAAATACAATGCTGAGGGGAGCAGCAGGCTAGTCAGGAGAGGTCTGCTGTGCCATGTGGGTAGCTCCCTGGCCAGGGATCGAACTTATGCTGTGGTGGTTGTGGAGAGCTTCATAGGTTGCGTCTTAGCCCCTGCACCACCAGGGAGGCCCCTATTTTGATATTTTCTTAAAAGTAAATTATAGTTAGGTTCGGGCTCTAGTTTTTATCCTACTGTCAATACTTGAAGGCTGAAAAGAAGTTCAAAGGGTAGACATTGTTGCAGTGGGGAGAAAGTGAAGAAAGGAAATGGAAAACCATGTATCAAGAAACAAGTGTATCTGAGAAACTAATACTTTCAGGGCAGTGCACTGAAGTCTGTTTTTAATAATTCTGAATCTCCTGATGCAAAAATCTTTGTTATGAGGGCTTCTGTTAGTAAAATATCAAAGTACCTTGAGCTCAAAGAGCAGATAAATTATTAGTTTAAGCCATTAATGATAATTTAATTTTCCTTGTCAAGAATTAGTGTGAGAAAGGAAATGGAACCAATATTGGCCAGTGATGAAGTAGTGGAAAGTTGTTAAGCTTAGATTTTTCACTGGTGTAAAGTATAGTCTGAGAAAAAATACCTCCTATCCATTCATTGGATGTTGTTGGGTCTACACAGAATACACAGAATACTAGGAAGTGTCATATAATCTTGAGGAGCAGGCGCACACACTGAGGGTGTAAAAACAAAGAAATCGAACAAACACGAACCCTTGATCCTGACATTGAATATAAATTACCCAACATTAAAAAATCCTGCCTTCTGAATTTCTTGTATATTTATCTTTGTAACTAGCCTAGAATCTAATATCAAGAGTTGCTTAAGTAATGCATTTAAATTAACCAATAAATGAAATATTTTCACAACTGAACCTAAGCAATCACCCTATTTTATTAATAGGTATATGAAAGAGGCATTTATATTTCTTTTGTTCCCAGAAGCACTTTCCATAGGGAAAAAAAAAAGAGAGTGACTTATTCAGTTTAATGTCTCTAAGATTAAATACTTTTCTAGTATAGAGGTGATTGAAAAATCATCTCTACATGATTCACAATGAATGTGTGTGCTATTTTTGGAGTATTATTTTTGGATATTATGAAGATGACATATTAAGATTTTTATCTAAGGATTTGCATAGCATTAGATTACATTCCTGGTGACAGTGAATATTAATTTCCAGTTTTTCAAATGTTTTTCTAAAAAAAAAATAAAGGTCCACATTTCTAGTTGAATATCATTTTGTGGTGAAAAGTAAAAGTATGCTACTTTGAAAATTATCTTGGCTGAACTTAAATTAATTTTCTGGTAGATAGCCAATCTAAGGGAATCTTAGAGAAAACATGATTATAAAGAATAAAGGAACAAGAGTTTTGTAGGACTATGCTTGAAAATTATCTTTGCTCTTGACACTGTAGGATGAAATATTTTTGTTTTGATTATCCAGACAATTAGATGAATATTTACTCTGAATATTGAAAAGAATCATTGGTTTTACTCTTCATGTGAAATGCTGAGCACAGTAGGGAAAAAACTCAAAGATGAACTCAAGATTCCCCCCCACAAAAGCCTTCTTACACAAACAAAAATAGAAGAATGGACTTCTCCTGAGTTTAATAACAGAGGATGCCCAGGGAATATGAAAAAGCTTTTCAGCATCATATCACTTTGTTTTATTTTTATTCAGAGGTGTTAAAGTAATAGAGACAAAGACATGTTTTCATACTATGATTAATAATGACGTGTTAATTGCCAACCCCTTGTCAAATTTGGTATTGTCCCTTATACTTGATGGATGAATGTTTTTTCTTGGATGCATTTCACTTACTTCACATTGGATGTAATAGAAATATCAGAGACTCTTGGAAAAAAGTAACTTATATGCTGAATAGGATAAACCATTATCATCAGGAGGCAAATTTTCCAAGAGGGTTTTGTTTTTTGTATAAATGTATATTAGATATAAATTTTTAAATGCATATGTCTTAAAAGCTTAGAGAATCACCTAAGAGGAAAACATTAACAAAAACAAAATAGGCTGTCTCATGAGGATATTGGGTTCTAAGTCTAAACAGTACAAAATCTAAATGGTTCTTTAAAAAATGAATTATTTGTAAAGCTTAATGAACCATCTTTTTGTTGGAATTGAGGAAGACAATATCTTCTTTATATCTTTATTTTTTTGTGTTTTTACAATGACTTATTGTTTTCTTGTATTCTGCAAAAGTTTTCTGTCTCTGTTTCTCCAGTTAAGGTAGTGAACAGCAAAGACATTAGCTTAATTCTCATAAAATGCATACGATAACTTGTACAGAAGTTTTTATTAATTTTTTGTTTTAGTGGTTAAGATTATAATACTTTGTATGACCTTGTGTAATTAATGATTACTAAGTCAATATAAAATGAGTAGAAATGTACTTATAGTGGTATTGCCTACATATCTACATATTAACATTGTGCATCATTAGTTCCAATAGAAGGTTGGGAATTCCATTTTAATTAAAAACATCTATTTAATTATTTAATATAACAATTAAAGACTAATTCATATATATCTAAACTTCCCACCCATAAACCACTTGTAATATGCTATGCTATGCTATGCTTTGCTATACAGATAGATACTCATCACCCCTACTCATTTCTTCATTTGGAATGAAAATGCTTAGCATCTAAAATAATTGAGTTAATCAAATTTCCTCATATAATGAACTGAAGTTCAATTTACAAATTACAAAGCTATATCACTATATGTCTGATAAGATATTATATGGTAGAAAATTAAGCCTTAATACCTATAATTTTAGAAACTACATGTAATATACATATTTATTAAAATGCAACTTATAAGAAAAGTGTACAATTTATAGTGAAGATAAGCAGTCATCAAGTTTCTGGCTTGAACTTTTGGCTAAATGATGGTGCTGTTTACCAAAGTAAGAATCAATAGAAAATGAGAATTTGGGGGGTGAAAATCATGAATTCATGATGAAGTACTTTCACTCATTGAGAGAGAAATGAATTATTCTCTCTTTGTCATTAAATTATATTAGGTAACTGCAGAAGGAGTGAACAGAATAGGAGATATTAGTTGCACTAAAGAAGAAAAGAAATATGGAGGATTGTTTTTCTGTGACTTTGTCAGATTTGTGATTACAGTGATAATCTTGTCCTCAGCTGCAACATTTTCTTTTGTGAGTGTGCATTTTGTTTGTTGATTTCCTTTACTGTGTAGAAGATTTTTAATTTGCTATAGTTCCATTTATTTATATATTTATGTTCTTGTTTCTCTTGCCTTTGGAGTCGGATCCAAAAGATATCATTAAGACAGATGATGTCAATACTGTGTATGTTTTCTTCTGGAAGTTTTATAATTTTATTAACATAAAATTTTTAATTAATTTTGAGTTAATTTTTTTGTGCATGGTGTGGTCCAGTGCAGATAGTGATCCAGTTTCTTGCATTTGCATGTGATTGTCCAGTTTATCCCAAACTAAATATCGAACAGTATTTAGTAAACATATGGGTAGGTTTATTTCTGGGCTCTTTGTTCTGCTCCAGTGATCTATGTCTCTCTGGTTTTATGTCAATACCACACTTTCTGATAACTGTATCTGTATATATAGTTACGGATCCCATTGAATCTGCAGAGTGCTTTTCATAATATGGATATTTTCTCATATTAATTCATCCAATCTGTGAGCATGGAATATCTTTTGATTTTTTTGCATCTTCAGTTTCATTCATCACGGTCTTTTTGTTTTCAGTGTACAGGTCTTTATCTCCTTGTTAAAATTTACTCCTAGTTTTTTTTTTTTTTTCTTTTTGATGCAATTTAAATGGGCTAATTTGTCTTTCTGGTGGTTTGATATTAGTATATAAAAATTCAACAGGATTTTCAGAAACATATTTTTAATGAGGGCATTTAATATCTTTCTTCCCATTCCTTT